AAATCTCTCAATACCTCAGAAATGGCACGAGTAAAACAACCAAGTGTGGAAAGGGAAGAAGGGTCGGAGAAGCAAATCCAATCAAGCGACACCACTCCTTCGGGCACTTAGAAGCGATATAGACCGAAGGTAAGGGAAGAATCATCAAAGAAGAAAGGTGTTCTGAAAATTCGTGAAAGTCGGGCCGAAGAGCAACCGATCCCTCCAAGAAAATCTCCCCGGTCCAAATCAAAATTACCGATAGTCACTAAAGAATCAGAAACCGAGTCGGATGATGGCGCCTTAGTTTAGAAAGTTGTGGAGACCGTATTGAACATATCCATCCCCAAACAACCGAGAAAGAAAAAGCAAAGGGTAAGTGAAGGAGTCGCGCGGCAAATTCCCCCTGAAGGTATATCAACTGAGTTCTCTGAGTTGTTAACTGGCAATCTTGATAGTGAAGTTAATATAGCAAAGTATAAAGCTGATTTTGCCAATAGAAAATTCTGTCCTGTGGTATCTGTGGACTTAGAGGGTCTGAAGAAAAACAAACAGATTGATCTCGACTTAAGTGACCTATTGCAGCATTATTCAAATTGGTTAATCATTGGTGGTGAATACTGTCCTGAGGTAGTTAAAAGATTCACCCCCCTCTTGGGTGAGATTGCTTCTAATAGGGGTGAATTGGGTGAGTTATAAAAATTTTAACTGAATTGAAACAATGAAATTAATAAAATTGAGAGCTTTAGAGTTAGAAGGATTTCATCGTAGATCAAAGACACTGGATTTATATTAGTTTGATCTTAACCACTTGACCTACGTCCAGTCCTTAAAACACCTATGAGATTTTCACTATAATCTAAGATTAACCGGGCTCTTGGTGCCTCAATACAGGAATTAATCTTCTCAATCACTCCCCCTTGATACCCGTAAGGTTACAAACGCACTTAAGAGTCCATACCCTTGAGTTACACTCAGAAAGTGATTAAAGATGGTGTATTAGTCTCTCTCACAGAGTAAATGAATGAGAAACACTGAAACTCATTAAAGACAAAAACAGAGTATTGAATGCAACAGTAAAATATTTGCAGAAGGTAGCTCGTGTATTCAATATCCACATTCAATGCTTCATTGCGCCTTTTATAGTTGTAGAAGTTTAATAACCGTTAGACGGAAAAGCTTCTAGCCATTGAGAGTTTGGTTGCATGTTTTCCTTGTTGCAACAGTATTCGCCATTTAATGTTTGACATGGTAGGTTATAGGCTACTGAATAACCATTAGATAACCATTGAACTTTCTTCGTAATCTGCAACAATACTTCAATCTAATAAGTTTTTCCTTCAGAATGAAATTCAGGAAGATAACTGATAAAATGATAGTAATATTCATATGGCAGAAGTGAAGGAAATCAATCAAATATCAAATCCAATAACTATGAACCGATCATCCTTGATGAAAGACATGATCGATAACTAGTTTATCAATTATGTTATCGATTAATTAAGATGAAAGATTTTGAAACAGATAACTATACTTATATAGATCAAGTTATGGATTAACTCATGATCGATCAAGTGATCGATAAATGAAAAGAATGACTTAAGAAAAAATATGTAGAGAAAAGACTCAAGGTCACCTATGATTTTGAAACTCTTAAAATAGAGTATTAAGATAATCAGCAAGGCTGAGAAAAGCTCGAAAAGAAATATTCAGAATATTCTTAAATCTTATCGTAGCTTCTGGTATTGAAAGAGCTGGATCATTGATCAAATAAGTGATCGAAAAATGTTTGATCGATTAATTTATCGATAAAGAAAAGTAAGAGAGAATTTCATTTTCAAGGTACATTGATCGAATACTTTATCGATAAATGGATGATAGAAAATTTGATCGATAAAATGAAGTTTAACAAAGATTTTCATATAGAGCACAAATCCTAAAATGATTAAGTAATCGGTCAAAGATTGATCGATCAAGTGATCAATAACAAAGTAGTCGAGAAGCTCAATTCTGAAATGCCAAGAGCATGTTTGATCGATCATGTTATGGGAAAACAGAATGTTTAGAAGATTGGATGATCGATTATTTTATCAATAAATCGATAATTGATCAAGTGATAAAAAAAAAAGCTTAACACAGTTTAATTCAATAAAAGGATAATGATCGATCAAGTGATCAATAAAGTATTTTTCAAAACACTTAAACACAAGAAAAATATCGATAAACAGATAAATTATAATGCAATGATAGGACAAGTTATCGATAAAGTTGTGACTGATAAAGTGATTGATAAATGGTGATTAAAACAAAACACAATGAGAGTAGGAAGCTTTACCATTTATCTGTTTTCTCATCGATAACTTATTTATTGATCAAGTGATCGATAAACACTTACTAAAACTTGTGTCCCATTATCTGTCAATTATTCAATCATTAGATTATCGATCAATTGATCAATAATTTTCTGCAAACTTCTATACAAAATAGTGTTAACAATGATCGATCAATTGATTGATCAACATATACAAATTGATTTATCTATCAAGTTATCGATTAACATTTCTGCTAAGTTATTTGATTACACAGAAGCTTTATCTATCATGTGATCAATAAATCTTTGATCGATCAGGTGATCGATCAGCTTACTAAAACACAGATTTCTTAAGTTATCATCAAAACCTTAAATCTAACATAAATTCCTCATTTGACACATTTAAATTAACAAGTGAAATATGGTAGCTCCACTTATAAATGGCCTTACTCCGGTTATAAGTTTCTATATCCTTCTTGTAAATCTCTTTATATTGATTGTAAATTTTCATATTCTATTGGTGAATTTTAACTCCCTAATTTATTTCCAATGGTATTTTTACTTGTCAATGGTCTTACTTTGATTGTCAACTCCCGTATCCCACTTTTGTATCTCCTTATATTGATTGTGAATTCCCGTATTTCATTGTTGAATCTAACTCCCTTAATTATTATGATTGTAAATTTCCGCATCTCTCTTGTATATCTCCTTATCTTGGTTGTAAATTTTTGTATTTTACTTGTGAATACTAACTCCCTCACTTATTTTCAATGGTTGTAAATTCTTGTATTCCTCTTGTATATCTCTTTATCTTGGTTGTGAATGCTAACTCCCTCAATTAATGCCAATGGTTACAAATTCTCATATCTCTCTTGTGAATTCGATTAGTTGTCAATACCTATATTTAGTTGTAAACTTATTTATCTTTATTGTGAATCACCCAATGTTTGTTGTGAAATTATGTATTCTAGTTGTGAATATGCTTAATTAATTTAGTTGTAAAGTCATTTATCTTCATTGTGAATAGTAGCCCATAGACTTGTCAATGATCATGTTCAAATTTTTGAACTAAATTAGGTCACCTATAAATGGACATGTTTTTGTTGTGAATTTATGTATCCTTGCTGGAAAATGGCATATTTTAGTTGTGAATAATAGCTTCTAGACTTGCAAATTAGTGGGGAAAAATAAAAGATTGGAATTAATTGACATGTAATATATTAATAAAATATAATTCCTTACATTGAAATTGTGCAAATTCCCATATTCACAAATTTATACACATTTTGAACTAACTAAAATCACATCTCAAATTGAAATATAACAATTGATATGTTATTGCTTTCTTTTTAGTTGTGTCTTTATCCATTCAAGTAGTTTCATAACAGTAGCTGACTTTGTATTTCTTTTGTGAGTAACAAGTCACCATGACAAGTATGACCACAATAATGAGTACCATCATCATATTCACACAAGTACAACAATGAAATCTCAAAATAATGTTTGAACTCAAGAACATATAATTTAAATCCCACTATTGTATAATAAGGCATGGTAAGATCCTTTCTATCATTCTCTTGTATGGACTCTTCCTATTTTTTTTTTCCATATGGCTCATTGTTAGCATTTGCCATTTTGTTTCGCTTTTCTGAAGTAGCATTTGCAATTGCTCTCATCCCATGTGTCTGCTCTTTGTTACGTTATTAAATTTCAGCATTGAGTACCTTTAATCCAGTAACTTCTTGATAAGTCTCATATTTTATATATGTTTTCTAATCCAAATTTATGCTTTTGTGGTCTTTAATTGTGTTATTTTGGGTTAAGATAGAGGTTATTGTGCATAAGGGGTATAAGGGTCAATTGTGTGCTTTTATATGTTAATTTCTAAGTTTACTTCATTCATTGACTCCTATGTATCCCACATACCCGAGAATCGATGACTATGAGCTTAATTTGAATATTGTAGGTGATTAGAGGATCGAAGGAACGTTGGAAGAAGGGTTTGCTTATATTCGTCGCGACCAAATATTGTTTTCACTGCGACTAATGATCATCACGAAGGAAACACTGTTGCTTATCCATATGGCGTCATTTTTAAGTTAGCCGCGACAAAACTCAAAATTTCTAGATTTAAATTCCAGAACGCATGCTAGTTCGAGATTATGTGATTTCTTCCATTTTAGCTTTGTTTTCTCTGTCTATAGCCCTTCTACTTCGTCTCTCCACTCCCCTACCATTCTTCATCATCAATCCACCATTTCCACCGATTATTCTCCTCTATTTCCCTTCAGATTATTGCTACTGCGAAGATGAAGAGGAAGTATTGGATGAAGATTTGCAATTTCAAGAACCAACCTCCATAGCTATACCCTCATCTGAAAGTATGAAAGAGAAGAGCATCTTAAAGAAGAAGGCCAATACACTTGTGAATGATGAAGAGGATGTTGGAGCTACTAAAGGGAGTCAACCTCACACTCAAGAAATTGGTTGCAATAAGGGTAATGAGGTAAATCTTCAAGAACTTCCTTTTCCACATTCTTATCTTTAAGGCATGAAAAAAGCTAGTTCTAAAAAGAAAGATGATGACTTGTTTGAGTTGTTTAGTAAATTAGAAGTTAATGTACCTTTACTTGAGTTGGCCTTTCAACCTAAATATGCTAAGATTTTGAGGGATATGTGTAAATATAAAAAGAAGTTCAAACCTAATGAGATGGTCCAACCACCCTCCAATGTTAGTGTACTTTTTAAGCCTCAATTGCTGGTTAAATGTCAAGACCCGGGGAGTTTCACCATACCTTGCACTATAGGAAGGACCACTATTCCAAAAGCCTTACTAGACCTAGGAGCTGCTATTAATATGATGCCCAAGTCAGTCTATGAGTCCCTAGGTATCACTACTCTTAAGCCCACTATTGTTATGTTGCAATTAGCAGACCACACTATTAGATATCCACATGGGGTGCTTGAGGATGTGTTAGTAAAGGTTAAAGACTTGGTTATTCCTGCAGATTTCTATGTTTTAGATATGTCTAAGAAAAGCATGAATGAAGGTGCATTAATTCTTGGTAGACCTTTCATGAGAACCACTAATATTGAAATTAAAATGAAGGAAGGTTCTATCACTATGAGTGTAGGTGATCATTTTGTGCATTGACATGATTGAGATGACATAGGCATTCATTTAAAAAGCTAGTTTAACCAAAAAGCCAACCTTAAAAAACTAATCCTTTATTGAACCCTTTGAGCCCATCATTTTCATTTCTTCACTTTTGCACATAGAAATGAACTTAATTGTGTTGTATCCTTATCTTTTCTTGAGTTAGATGACCTCTTATATCAATTAAAAGAAAGGTATGACTATTCTGTGATACTTGGTCGCGATGAAGTAACCTGTTAGTCAAGACTAACTCTCCTGAAAGGAGAAAAATGAAGAAAGAAAGGAAAAAAAGAGAAGGAAAAAAAAGTAAGAAAAAGAAAGAAAAAAAATATATAAAGAAAAAAAAAGGAAAGAAAGGAAGGAAAAAGAATAGGAAAAAAAAATATTATTGGAATAAGTGAGCTTCATGGAGTTGTCTTCTATACTCTTATGCATTCAATTGCATATAAGCATTTGGTTCATTTTGATTTCCATTCTCGTTATCTACCTTCGATTACACCCATGCATTTAACCCTCCATTCATTTGCCTTTCCAACATTACAACCTAATAAAAGTCCTATTGATCTTTTGTGTCGTTGCTACTAGTGGTGGAGAGCTTAGAACCATTACAAGCATATGGTAGAGTGTAGTTAAGTGGATGTCGAGCGAAATTACCCCTAAGAATTGTGAGTGAAATACTTTTTCTTGGGAGGTTTCTTGAGCATTCATTTGGGCTAGTCCTTGCACCATTTGCCTAGTTCTTTCAGCATATGACATGAGCATGGATTTGATGTGAGTATGGAATTGTGATTGCCAAATGTGATTCTTGATGCTTGCATAGTACATTTAGTCATACCTCTTATTTTGCATTAAGTGTTTTGCCCTGGAGTGCAAAAGCTAAGTGTGGGGGAGTTGATAAGTCTCATATTTTATATATGTTTCCCAATCCAAACTTATGCTTTTATGGTCTTTAATTGTGTTATTTCGGGTTAAGATAGAGTTTATAGTGCATAAGGGGTACAAGGGTCAATTGTGTGCTTTTATATGTTAATTCCTGAGTTTACTTCATTCATTGACTCCTATGTATCCCACATACCTAAGAATTGATGATTATGAGCTTAATTTGAATATTACAGGTGATTAGAGGATCAAAGGAACGTTAGAAGAAGGGTCTGCCTACATTTGTCGTGACCAAATATTGTTTTCACCACGAGTAATGATCATCACGAAGGAAACACTGTCACTTATCCATATGGCATCGTTTTTAAGTTAGTCACGACCAACATATTAATTAGTCATGACGAAACTCAAAATTTCCAGATTTAAATTCCAAAATGCGTGCCAGTTTGGGATTCCACGACTTCTTCCATTTTAGCTTCGTTTCTCTGTCCAGAGCCCTCCCACTTCGTCTCTCTTCACTCCCCTACCATTCTCCATCATCAATCAACTATTTCCACCCCTATTCTTCCATTTCCACTGATTATTCTCCTCTATTTCCCTTCAAATCATTGCTGCTATGGCCATGGAAGTTACAGAGCTTGGTGAAGTTGTGATTTCAGTCATGAGAGGCTAGATCTTCATTCCTTGGTGTTCAATGAAGCCAATTTGAGTTCCTGGAGCTATAATTAGGAGTTTTTTCTACTTTAATCTTAGTTTCATTCTTTACATTGATAGATTGTAGTTTCTATGGTTTAGATCTGTGATTTGTGATTGTAAAGAGATGTAATCTGGTTGTTTTATATTGAGATTGAGATTTGGATTGTATTTTGCACTCTAATTGATTAGTTGAATTGATATTTCCTTCTATTATATTGATTCTTTCTTCTCAAGTGTTTGAATCTCTTGATTGGCTGGTTAGGATGCTAGCATTGTTAATTAAGAGAGTTAAATACCTTATGCAAAACATAATCCATATTAGACATTTAGGTGAGTTTGATGATTTAGGGTTCTAGCTCATTGAATTAATTATTTGTAGAAGATCTTCATAAACCGAGTCTAGTAAAGGAACTGAACTGAATGAACAAAGGAACTAGGATGATTAGTGGACCTGACCATCAAGGATAATTCATACATTGCCTTCACTTCATTCATTAAAATACAAAAATTACAAAGAGTTTAGATAGTTGTACTTAGGTTTTGATATAATCACTAGTTATATACATACTTCATACATCATACTTGGTTAAATTGATATTTGTGATAAGATTACTAAGGCATTCAAAGGCTCCTCAAGAGATCGACATCTAGGTTAGTGCTACTATATTGCATTTAGCTTAGTTTTATTTGAGAGTCTAATGACAGGGCTTTATCACTTCTGTATCTTTTTTCACCATCTTCTTAAACCTGCACACAATTATTATGTCATTAATAAGTAGGATAAAGTGGTAAATTTACCTATTGTAATATTCAAAATGAGTACCAAGTACCATAATAAAGCGTTCGGTGCAAAGATACATATGAACTTTTCAAAACAAGGCAAAAATACCAAATCCGTTAATGGTCCTAAATGTCTGTTACCTACTATTTTTTTGGGTCCCACTTTATCTAGGAGTCACCTCTCCTTCTCATCCTTCCTCAGTTTCTCTTTCTCCTCCTTCGCTTCATTTATCAGAGTCTCTTGCTGGCATCCATCTCTCTCCCTGAGCCACCGTTGCTTTCCAATGGAGAGCTTCACACTTCTTTCTCATTCCATCTCAATTTTCTTCTCTCTCTTTCTCTTCTACTTCCTTCATCCGTCATCGTTCTCGCTCAGTCTCCAGGTCTCAAATCTCACTTATTTTAGGATAGCCGTAGATCCAACTGTCATATCCAGTACTATGATAATTAGGAATAAGAAATATTCCTGAATAATTAAGGGTCAAAAGTGACAAGGAGAAATAGAAGAATTTTAGTGGAAAATAATCATTATAGTTTTCCAAGCTAATTATGAAAAGTTTGACTAATTAAAAAAAATTGGTCAAGAATAATTATGGAAAAATATTTTCAAGCCTCAGAAAATAAGAAAAATAAGGACAATGTTCCTTGAGAATTATATGGGATTATTAAATTGGTTTTATGACCAAATTGCCCTTAGAGAAATTACAAAGGAATTTAAGGGCGATTTAAGCTAGTTTAAGGTCCTTTATTTGGAAAATTCCAAATAAATATTTTTAAGGAGGATAAAATCCCAAAAAAATTCTTGTGATATCCCAAGGAATTATAAGAGGTTATGAAATTAAAAGAAGATCCTCAAGTATCCAAGATTTTTCCCAATTCCTTTGAAAAGTGGAAAAATCACTAAAGAGAAGGAAATTAGTTTTTCTTTTATTTAATTATTGGGAAATTAAATTTGAGACAAAGAGGGCAATTTGGGAAGATAAAAATGAGGAGAATAATTTATGGATCTGACAGAAAATAATTACAGAGGCCAGAACACTGTAATTATAGAAAAGAAATTAAACCCGGAGTCAAAGTGCACCGATAAAGAAAGACTAGAGTCTTGCAATTCAAATGGTTCACATTTAGCCATGTGTCAAGCCTCTAATGGATGGTAATTAAAGTTTTCCACGTGTCAAGCTACTAATAGAGAGGATTTTGACTTTGGAATTTAATTACATTATGATTTAAGTTAATTAAGAGAGAGGATTAAGACTAAGTAAGCTTTTGACACATGGCATAGCATTAATGTTAGTTGGTGAGATATTTCTGGTGCCTTAATTGAGCTTTTCCTCCCCCATAATCAGATTACATTTCGGCCTAAGAGAAAAGAGAGAGAGCAAGAGTGATTTTGTGAAGGGATCAAGCAAAAAGCAAGCATATTTGATCTTCCAACTAAGATTCAAGTTTGGTAAGTTGTTCTAAGATGTTCCTTGCTTTGTTTTATCAATTTGTATGGTTGGAAAAATCACTTCTTGTCCCTTCTTGTTGCTGGCCAAAATGGGTATAGTGTAGGGAAGGAGGTTTTGCTGCAAAATATAGTTAGAATACTATGATTTAAGATGTTTTCAAGTGGTCCAAGATGTTGTTGGAAATTTTTCATGGTGGGTTTGTTAGAAGGACCTTTCGGCCACTTTCAAAACTAAACCCTGGGATTTGTTTTTCAAAGTTTTGAGGCTTCCATTGTGTTCAAAATGAAAAATGGTATAGGATGAACCTAAAGAACATGTGTTGGAAGCCATAGAATCAAATATGCAATTTTTAGATTTTTAACCCTAATGGTTTTAATTAAATTCGAAGTAGATCCGATAGTAAGGTGTGACATTTTTGGTATCAGAGCGGAGGTTTTGGCATAGGATAGAATGCTCTGCTTAGTTAATATGTCAGTTAAAAAATTTGACATATTGTTGCAGGAATTGTGATGGAAAACACCATAGATTGGGATGCTAGATCTGAGAAGTCGGTTAATGATTAGGATACTAACATAATTGATCTCACAATAGAGGAGCTAGTGGGATGGACTATGGGGATTGCTAACCCAGGATACTTAACGAAGGAGTCCAACAATTATTAAGAGCATGGGGCTAACCTTTTAGGGGTTACTGTTGAGGATTTAATGAACCTTCCTAGACCTAGTAACATGGTGGATCCCACAATTGATATGTATCAGGAACCAATGTGTCACACCTTACTATTATATTGACTTAAGTTCCTTTCAAAATCATTTTAGAGCACATTGGATGGTCTTGGGCTCACTTTTTACCATAAAAATGCTAAATTTCGGATTTTTACTGTTCATCGGGTAAAAATCCAGTTTTTCTGGCCTAACTTCAAAAATTCATAACTTATTCTTCAAAAATCCAATTGGGGTGGTTCAAAATTCTACTTAAATATATTTAAGTTCTCTTTAAAGGAAAAATAATCTCATTGTCCAATTCCTTAAGAGAAAGCATCAGGTTTTTGAGAAAAGCAACACTGTCCACTTGCCAAAAACCCTGATTCCCAGATTCTGACCATTAACTTTGAAAAATCATTATAAATCGTATACTGGGCCATTTTTAACGTATTAGCTATCAACATGAAGCTCAAGATGTCATATTTAACCATATCAAATTTTACGGTCAGAAACATTTGAAAACTTAATCGAAGTTGCGTGAAGGGGGCTGTGTCTAGAAATTTCAGTACTGTCCAGCACCTTCATTATACAACCAAAATGTCACGAAATTTTATGGTAAAAATTGCCATAATTTAGCCTTCCACTTGCTGCTTTCCCTTAGATGATTCAGGCCCTAAAATATTGTATTACATTTGGGGGATGAGATTTCATGGAAATCCCAATAGCAAATTAACCAACTATAGCATCAACAAGCATCATTATTATGCATGATCACATTAGCTACTATTGATGAACTAACATGCTTATCATTTGACAAACTCAATCATGCAAAGGCCCAAGCAAGATACTATAAAGAGTAGCCACATAACAATCAAGAGAGCTCAACCACAATAATAGCAATTAACCATACAATAATCAACAATGCTAGTTAGTGGTAGTACGTAGCTAGGTTTAACTTGCTACCTTGATCCAAAGATTTGTGCTTTCTTTGATTCTCTTCATTTTCTTCACAAAGGTCAAACCCTAGCATGATAATTCATAAAAAGGACAACAAGAATCATTATCCATTTCAACCAAAAGCAAGAACATAACTCAAAAATACTCTTGCTTCATAAAGGTTCCATCTTTGCTCTTTGCTTTTAAACTTGTCTTCCATAGGGTTTAAAAATCCTTTCTTGCCTTATCCCCACATGTTTTTCCATTTTAAACACCATGGAACCATCAAAAAATTGAAAATCTCATCCTAGGGGCCATTTAGTGTCAAAACCGAAATGCTCCTTACAATACACAATAAAGAACACACTTCCAAAACACCCTAAAATCACTTGTAACCACTTGGATCTTTTATGTTTTGAAGTGTTTTACCATATTTGAGCAACATAACTCCTTCCCCTACACCATCATCATTTCGTCTAGCACCCAAAGAAGAGGAGAAACAAGATTTTCAACCATACAAAGCAAGAAAACAAGGCAAGGAACAACTTAGAACCAAAAACTAACCTTGAATCTCACTTGTGTGCTCCAAGATGCTATCTTTCTCCTTAGTTCTTCCTTGGTTCCACTTGAAACACTCTCTTTTCTCTCTTGGCTATGGCTTGCACGAAATGGAGGTCTGATTTTAGAGGAGGAAGTGCTCATTTAATGCTTCAAAATATCTCAACCACCATCATTAATGCTAATCCAAGTGTCACTACCCCCTTGGTTCCTTCTTTCTCTTTCTTAATTAACTAAATCCAAATGAAATTAATTACCAAAAGTCAAAATCCTCTCCATTTAGAAAATGACACTTGGCAATTTCAAATCCTCTCCATTAAGGGCTTGACACTTGGCTCAATGAGGATCATTCAAAATGCAAAGCTCTTTATCAGTGCACTTTGACTCCGGGTTTGAATCCTTTTCTATAATTACAGTATTCTAACCTCTATAATTATTTTCTATCAGAGCCCTATTTTATTCTCCTTATTTTTATCTTTCTAAATTTCCCTCTTTTGTCTCAAAATTAATTTCCCCATAATTAACATAAAAGGAAAAATTAATTTCCTTTTCTTACGGATTTTTTCACTTTTCAAAGAAATTAGGAAAAGCTTGGGTACTTGAGGATTTTCTTTTAATTCCATAATTTCTTATAATTCCTTGAGATATCATAGGAATTTTCTTGAACCTTTATTCTCTTAAAAATATTTATTTGGAGTTTTCCAAATAAAAGCCCTTAAATTAGGCTAAATCATCCTTAAATTCCTTTGTAATTTCTCTAAGGGTAATTTGACCTTAAAAATAATTTTATAATCTCATATAATTCTCAAAGGATATTATCCTTATTTTTCTCTCAATTTCTATGACTTGGAATATTTTTCCCATAATTATTCTTGACCAATTTTCCTGAATTAGTCAAACTTTTCATAATTGGCTTGGAAAATTATAATAATTATTTTCCAACAAAATTCTTCTATTTCTCCTTATTATTTTGGGATAATTAATATATAAGTCCTTATAGTTTCAACTGGTTTTTAATCAGGTCCCTATAATTTTTTTTCTTTTTATCATGTCCTTATACTTTCATATATTTTTAATCAAGTCCTTATAATTTTTTTTCTTTTTATCAGGTCCTTATTGTTTTACTTTGTTTTTAATTAGGTCTTTGTAGTTTTTATTCTTTATTTTACAAATAATAACATTTAAAAATATATAAATTATTGTAACAATCTTATGTTAGTATTCTTTTAAATTTTTAGTTAAACAAATACATTATTTATTTTCAATTCAAATTTTTATAATTATAAAATTCAAATTATAATAATAAATTTTTATAAAATTAAAATATGATTATAAATAATTTATATTTAAGTATAATTATTATTCTGATTATTTATTAATTACTAAATGATTATATTAATTATTTTGTCCAATTATATAATCATTAATTTAAAAATGAAATTAATTTTAAAGAATAAAGTTAATAAATAATTTTTAAAAACTACAAAGCACCTAATTAAAAAATAAGTGAAACTATAAGGACCTGATAAAAAGAAAAAAAAATAGAAGGATCTAATTAAAAACACACGAAAGTAAAAGGATCTGATAAAAAGAAAAAATTTTATAAGGACCTCATTAAAAATCAGATAAAATTATAAGGACCTGGCGATTAATTATCCCTATTATTTTTTACCCTTAATTATTTAGAAATATTTCTTATTTTGAATTACCATAATACTGGATGTGACACAATGGATGCTAGTTTTGACATTCAGTCTCACGGACAGCTTGTTAGCCTAAGTGTACACCCAAGTGACATCCCCGAACCTAGTACCAAGCCAGGGATACTCCTGACACCCAAAGTACTTGTCCCTATTCTGACTGAGCCTAAGACCCGTAGTTCGGATTAGTTGAGAGAGAAGTTGGAATTCTTGGGTCGACATATCAGGAAAGATGAGGATCAGCAAGACCTGAACATTTACCTAGAATACCTTCAAGGAGTAAAGGTGCTATATCAGACTCATGGACTAGGTAACCCTTATCTAGACACCAAGGACTGGATCTTTACGATGACGGACATGCTTCCATATTTACCCTTCTGGGTATATGAGTTCTGTCGCCTAAATCAGATAGTGGATTTAGGTGTTGAGGATTACATCCAGCACCTTGAAAACTTTGTTAAGATTTACTATTTTTAGACAGTTAGATCCTCGTAAAACTAACATAGGACTTGTATTGTTATAGCTAACCATAGTAGGTTAGTCTGGCATGCTTGATTGCTATGTATGTTCCCAAGATGGCTATGTATATTGAATTATATTGCTGTGACTGATAATTGATGCTTGAATGATGTATTATGAATGCATATGTTGTCAGATAAAATCTAAACATGTTGTTTATTTCTTGTTCCTCGAATATGCTATCCGTTAAGTTAGCGCGATAGTTAGAACCCGAAGAAACCCTTCACCAGAGAGACCCTCAGGACGCAATGCAAGGGTCCATCCTGATCCAATACGATTAATTTTGGAATGCTTAGAACCACAATAAAAGGCTATTGAAGGGTTGAAGGTGGAACAAGCTAGCTAGGAATAAGAAAAAGATGCTATAATAGTAGCAGCGGTAGCAGTGGTAGTGGCTAACTTGGACAGAGGCAGCCAGAGGAAGAAACCTCAGCAGTGCAAGCAACAGAACAATTGCCTAGATCAGCAATGCCAACAGTAGACCTCGATAGCATCCAGTAGTAGATGACTCACTTTTGCAAGCACAATCCACCATCTTTCGATGGAGTAGTTGACGTCCAAGCAGTAGAGAATTGGATTAACTGCTTAAAAAAGATTTTCAAAGTTCTGGACTGTCTGACTAAGCGGAAAGCCCAAATGGCTATTTACCAGCTAGAAAAGGATGCCGATCATTAGTGGAAGAATACCAAGATTCTTCTGGATGCTCAGAACACGAAAGTGACATAGGAAGTGTTCCTAGAGCAATCTTATGAAAAGTATTTCTGAGGTCAGTCAGGGACAAAAAGGAAGCAGAATTTCTAAACCTAAAGCAGAGGAATAACGAGTCATTTGATGAGTACTTAGCTAAGTTTAGACGTCTTTCCCACTACTTTAGTTGCTTGCGTTACCGAGATAATGAAAGGCAGATGACTAAAAGATTCTCAAAGGACTAAAGCAATCCTTAAGGGAGATGATTGCTCCTCGGCAGCTCGAGCACTTCAACAAGGCAGTTGAAGCCTGCCGAATTACGGTGAACAGCTTGAACCATCATTTGATGCCTACTCCCAAGTTAGAGAAGGGAGATCAGGGTGGCACCTCTTCTAATGCGAACGGGAAGAGGAAGAGGCTATAGGACAAGCGAAAGAGCAAGAAGGGAGGCAAGCCCTC